ATGCTATTTACAAATCTTTTTTAGATAAACAATTATTGTTTATTGTTTATTAAAATAGTTAATAGTTAACACGTCTTGCAAATTATTTATAATAAAAATTTTTCAAATTATTTTTATGCAAAAAAATATTTATTTTAAAATATTATTTATTTTAATAAAAATATTTTAAGCCTTTGAGGTGAGAAAAAAATTTGCATAAAATATTTATTATTTAAAACTAATGAAGCAAAATTTTAAAATTTAATAAAATTTAATAAAAATAATATTCGATAGTTCACATTTCTTATAGTTTGGATTGATTTCGTTAGAAAGAAACAAAGAAAGAAAATTCACGAGTATTTAGTATTTGTGATGATTGTATGAATCGATGGCAAAATGGTTGTCATAATCGAGAATGGCTTGAGTTCGAATTCGGATGTCGTCGAACGGCGAAAGCAATAGGAGATAGCGTGGCTCATTGGATTGTCGCTTATATGGGAGTTGAGGTCCATCAGAAAAATATACCTGTATACTTGTCCTGCTTTTAAAATTTATACCTGTCTTTTAAAATTCTTGTTGATATTGACGGCTCACTACTGTATTTTATCATCAGATAACTTCTTGCCAAAATTTACCTGGTCCGACAAGGCAGCGGAGCGAGCCTAACAGTTATGGTGAACTCTCCTAGAAAAAAAATCCACGTGAATTTTCTCGATTTCATTTTTTTCGACCAATTCATTTTAAACTAAAAAGGTTAAAAGCGAATTTTTTTCGCAAATTTTATTTTTATTCTTTGGCTTTGATTTTCACTAAGAAAAGAAGAACTTATCGCGAAATTATTTCGCTATTTTGAGAGTGCTTATAACCATAGAAAATTTTAACGCTCATAACAGATTAAAATATTTTTGCAAGTTTTTTTTTTTATTATTTTAACGCAAACTAACTAACTTATAAACTGATTTGATATGGAAGAATTAAAGAATAAAATAGCGGATTTTATGAAATTAATGTTTGCGAAAACTCATAAAAATTGCTATTATTCGACACTTTGTAGTTGATACATATATAATTCTTTATGAATTCGGTATTCGTTCGTATTTCTTTTTCTTCTAAACAGCTCGATTCATTATTCCGCTGACTACAACGGTATAACATTTTCAACTCGCTCAATCCATAACCGAAAGTAATAGAACTCACTGGTCTTTTCCACGGTCCAAGTTCGTATATCGCTAGGCCGCCTATACGTTCAAAATGTTTACATTTCTGACTGTATTAACCCCGATTTTGTTTCAGTTTTATTCTATATAGGTAAAATAAATAATAATAATATAATATAATAATATAAAAAAATAAATATTTTTTTTCAGGACTGATTTGTTATTTATAATTCTATAAAGAGCAATTAAAATAGTGAATAAAATGGGAATAAATTTGCAAATTTGGTAGATCTCTGAATTTTATGTTTATTTTGAAATTTAGGTTTTACTGTGTTTCTTATGAGTAAAAACTTTTAACATACTGATCATCGCCTGTACATCACCTTCTATAGCATCTAAAATATCTAAAATTTGAAAGAACTTCGATAATCCAGAGTTTTCATCTTTTCGTGAAAGAACTATTATACTCTTCCATTGGTCTACTGGAGGGAGGAGTAAGTAATTCGCAAAATTTTCCTCGCCAAATCATTAATTCATCAATCCTCAAATGCTTCGTTATAATTCATATTTAGATTGGTGTTGAATTAATTTTTATCATTTGAAATTTCCAAATATTCTCTTTCCAAATTAGTCGCAATAAATAAGTTTCCTCATATTTTAAATAATTAAAAATGGACTTATTAATCATTTCTAAAAATTAAAATATTAAAATATTTTAATATTTTAATATTTGAAAAAACATTTTAAAAAATTATAAATTACAAAAATTATATATCGAAATTTTGAAAATTTTTTAAGAAAATTTTTGCGATAGAAACGAAATTAAAAACTAAGTTTCTTTAAAGCTTCTTCCTTATAAGCGTCGTCCTCCTTATATGTTTGAAAATCGACATTGAATTGGAACGTCTTTTTTTTCCGTAGAGCGCTACGCTATTTTCAGTTAGATTCGTTGAACTATTTTGTCAAATAAGATAAATTTTATCAGCGCGACAGAAATACGAGTGATTCGTCAGTATCACCGGCGCTTTTGAAAGCAAATTTTATCCCTCTAGGAATAGAATTTCATAATCGGATTCCGAAGAGCAATAATATATTCTTGCCATTCCAACATAATTTTTTTTGGCTTCAAATAATCAGATTGTTTTTTCGAATATCTCTTTTAGTTTATTTTGTTATATTTATCTATCGATAGCCATTCCAGTTACATTAATTTGCCTTAAATTATTACATTTACAGCTAAAACATTTTAAAATCACACTATAGTGCTTTTATCATCGCTTATTTTCATTATTGCCATCGTTTAATGTTATAAGATTTCAATAATTTGAACTAAAATGTTACATGCAATAAATTTTCTCTTAAAATTTTTTTCTATCAATAATAATAATAATTTTTTTTTCATGAATAAAGCAATTTATTTTTGCAAAGATAGTACTGGGGAATACTGGGAAGCAGTCTCTGATGACAATAATCTTGATTTGTTAGCAAAGATAAGAAATTTTTTCTTGTCTGATAATAGAAAATTCATTCCAGCGTAATTATGAGTTAAATTTCAGAAATTTGCTAACCAGGGCGAGGTTTCTAAAGAAATACAATTCTTTTTTTGTTGTATATGAATTTATTAATAAATTTTATAAATTAATAAATTTTTTATTTAAGAATATCTGAATTTCTAAAAATTTAAATTTTTCTATATGTTATTTTTAATTATTTTTTATTTGTTATTATTTAAAAAACTTAAATAATAAAATTTAATTTATTATTAATCTATTTTATCTTCTATTTTGTCAATTTGTTTTTTAATGGCTCTATAACGTGTTTATAGATAATTTATCAATTTGAGTAAGCAATTTGGTTTTTTTTTTCTTTCAAACAGCAGTTCTCTGAAAGATTTAAAAAGAAAACGTTTTTTTATGAGTTTTAATTATCATTGATCCATTTCTTAGCATTTTTTCTTTGAATTTAAGATTTTTTAATTCCTTTTTTTACCTCTTTGGTACGATAAATATATAAAATTTGACAGAAAGTTATTGGGAACAAATTTTGTTTTACATTTCTATCATTTTTTTTTTGATTTTTTATTATTTTGATTTTTTTTTCATTTTCATCCATGAAAATTTCTTTCGGTTGAGGAAAACCTTTATGGAGTCGTCGTAAAATCACCATAAAAACGAAAGTCTGCATCTACATAGCCGTGATTCGGTCGATCTTGGTATATGGCTCTGAGACATAAGAATGGAGAATATTAAGAAGTTATCTGCCTTTGACCACTCTTATCTAAGGTACATATTACAGATTCGCCGAGTGGATAAATTCTCACATTCTCACATAATCGTATCCTCCTTCGTTCAAATACTATTTGCCCTAATAATCCATTGCCTTCACTCTTTACGACACGTTCTTCGTCGCAGGAGTTAATAAATATTTTTTTACCTGCTAAACTCTGTGGTGAGTAATATCAAAAACGTGGTGGACTAATCAAGACTAGATTGACATATCAGGGAAGATTTCATACATACGGGGAGAGAGTGCGGCAGTGATTTATGGAATTCTAGCGATAGAAAAAGGAATGGGTTCTATTATTGAACTATGGCATCAGATCAAGGCAGAGACAGCCTAACCAGTAATAATGAAAGCTATCAGAAGAAAAATTCCATAAAAATTAAGAATAAGTCTACTTTTTTCATTTTTGATGGTTAAAATCAGCAATTAATTAGAAGTTAATTTAATATTTATAAGAGATAGGATAAAGATGGGATTGAGTGATACTGCATTGATCAGTGTTCAACATCGTAGGTTCGATTTCTTGCTCTGTTAGACATGTCCAGTGAAAAATCGGGGTGTTGGCGATTCACGTATGCTCTGATATCGTCAAAGTACCACCTAGCGAAATTTCTCAACCGAGAGCTAAGTCATAATTTAAGTTTGCCGCTATTGACAGCAGAAGCTGAGATATTTTGTCTTGCAACGTGATTATCTAAGGCACTATCCCTATGCTCTTCCTATTTCCACTTTATTTTTGCTCTTGGTCAAAAGCACAAAAGTTCTCGTAATTTGAGATTATTCTAAATTATCCAACAATTATGTGACAGAAAATTTTCAGTAATTTATCATCTCAGTGTTCATCTCGTTAACTTTGAAATTTCCTCAATTAATGATGTCTTTGATAATAAATTCGATTACAATTTTTCATGCAGCTGTGTATGATATCTTTGAACAATATGCAATAATAAAATATTAATTTCGATGAAATAATTAAAATAGGATATAATATAATTAATCATAATTTGGATCTCCATTAATTTGCTCAATTTTTTTTGCGATTTTTTTTCAATTTAAATCGTTATCATTAATTAATTTTAAAAATATTAATTTTACTAGTTATCATGCTGTTTATCAATTTTATCAAAATTATCATATTTTTGCAATTATTTTTCAAAATTATTTTATATTCAGGCATTTAACAACGAAAATATTTTCAATTCTGATTATTCATTGCTCAAATAAAAACGAATAATGGATTTTTTCAAAATGATAGGAATTTTCAATTTCTTCAAAAATTTCATTATTCATCATATTATCATCGTAGATTTGTTATTGTAATCATCGCTACGAAAAGTAAGGCGCAATTTACATTTGTAACAAACCAAAGCTTTGTTATTAAAGCATTTTTTATTCGTAATTTCTTATTTATAAAGCGTTTCATATTTTATTGTAGTGCTGAAAGATGGCATCGAATGCATCCGCTATGCTCATCGTAATAGCACGAATTCGTTGTTCAGAAACCAAAAACAAAAATGGCCGCATGTTGGATATTCCTCATTGTATTTGAATATTTCAAGAGAGGATGAAGATAAAACGAAAATGAAATCGAACGCTTCGACGAATAATATGAATTTGGATTTAGTCAAAAATTCAGATTTGAAAAGAGTTTTAACAGCCAATGATATAATTGTGCCTTTATTATTATGCACCATATTATTGCTATCGCTCTTAACTAGTGGTCTTTTGGTGACATTAATTGTGTTGTTATCAAGAATCACACGAAATGGCCTCAGCCAAACGGAACAACCATCACTCATCACAGGCAATATTGGCAATTTTATGAATAATACATTATCGCAGGATTTGCAGAAGGTGATTTGATTTTGCCTTTTGTTTGTCCTCTGTTCTATTTTGATAGAATTCCTGCTTCGAAATAGAGTTTAAATTCGAATTTAACCAATTTCAAAACTTGGCTCAGCTGATGATCGATTTCAAAGCGCTTATCATTCCAAAGTGATGAACATATCACTAGAAATTTGATTGCATATGCTTCGATTGATGCAATAATTATCGAATCCATAATATAATACTGATAAAAATTCTAATATATATAAAAATTTCAACTATTTTTTAGGCGATTTTTCTTTTAACATCTTTCGTAAATTTTTTATTTTTATTACCCATTTTCTAGAAATTTAATTAATTGTTATTGTTGAATTATTTGTGACTCGTTTAGACACTAAAAAAGTGGCCTATTTTGGGTAAGCAAATAGGAAAATTACGGTAATTATGCATTTTTTATTTTCTTATCCTAGATAAAGAATAAATATATTATCTTATATTATCTTATACATATATTGTCTTATAGCAAAATCACATAAGAGAAATACTAATGACGGCATTTCGGCCCCTCAATATTCGTGATAATATTCGTTGGCTTTCGGAAAAAATTCACGTCGCGGGCACAGATGAAAATACCGAACTAATGAAAAAGATTGCAGCTAAAGTAAGTAAGCGGCATCAAACGAGGGTGGTTTTTTGTTTTCATTTTCTATAAGGGAAGGAATCGAATAAATGAGGGATTGGTGTTATTGTTGGTAAGAAAGTGAGAAACCAAAAATTGCCGAAAACCTTTGTTAATTTTGTTAATTAATGGATAATTAATTAAACGAATTTTTCGAAGCAAAAAATAATAGAATTAATAATAATAATAGAATTGAACTTGGCAAGAAATTCATAAAAAATTCATAAAATTCATAAAAATAATTCATGAAAAATTCAAAAATTTAAATTTTTTTTTCCTATTTTTACGCCACAGGTATTTTATTATTTTTTATTGTGGAATTATTTTATTTTCAATTTTATTTTAGAAACTTAAAATATGTATTTTAAGTACAAAATTTATGGTTATGAAGTGGAAATCTATGAATATACAGTGTTATTGAATTATCCAAATTATGAGAAACCAAATAGAATCGAGTATAGAAATAATCAACAGTGGATAGAAATAAGTAATGGACTAGCAGATATACTCGGATCATCTGAAGCTGTTTCTCAGGTAGACGGTATTTAATTTATTATTCTTATTTCAATATTATCAATAAAAATGATAAAATAGTTGGTAATAATATAATAAAATTTCAATCAAAATTTGCGTGACGTTACCGTCACGTGTACTTCTATCGCCAAGGAATTCCTTGATATGTTTGCCTAGAAGGACAAACTAGCAGAGCAGTGGTACTTTTAAACAAAAATAATATTGTCTTTAATTAAGCAATCAGATTCTCGTGGGCGACTTTACTGGACAGCTTATTCAAAAAATGGTACAGTTGAAGGAAATATTGTTTATGTAAATTATGGAATGCTGGATGATTATTTGCAACTTGAAAAGGTTCATTATCATTTAGACTTATCATTTATCATTTAAATAATAAAATGAAGCTTCTTATCTTTATAAACAGTCTTTTTTTTCAAATGCTTAATGAAATAACAAAGTTGGTATTATTATTTGTTAAAATATTTGTGAAAATAATGAAAAATTACAATTTCAGTTAGGAATAAATTTGAAAGGCAAAATAGTCCTATGTCGTTATGGAGGTATTTATCGCGGCGACAAAATTCAGTTAGCACAGGACAGGGGAGCTATTGGTGTTATTTTATACAGCGATCCATTCGATTATGCCAAAGATGTCAATCAAGGAAGGGTTTGTCGTTTTAATAATCCATATTTACGACTGAGCTTTAATAGAGAATAAATAAGATGCATTTTAATGTTATATTATATTATAGAATTATCCATGCCCTTCACCAACAATGTAAAAAATATGTTGGGTTTAAATTACTATCATATCATTATCATTTAGACTTATCATTTATCATTTAAATATGAATAAAGTGAAGATAGGAATGAAGATGAGGAATTGGAAAAAATTGAAACAAATAGGTTGTCAAATTGCTATCGTATAAAAGATGTTGCAGACTTATCCAGAGCAAATATGGCTTCCTCCATCTGCGGCACAACGAGGGACATTATTGAAAACCGAAGGTGATCCGGAAACGCCTTTTCTACCATCGAAACATTATGTTTATCGCATTGAAAATGATGAATCATTACGTAATCGTCAAATTATACCGAATATCCCAGTCATGCCTATTGGATATAGAGACGCTATCAAAATTATGATGGAACTAAATGGGCCTCAAGTTAAAGTAATATTAAATGTTGATGAAAAAAGTCAGTGCTACTGATAAATTTTACCGTGATTTGATTACTTCAAGACCAGTAATTAAAAACGGAAAGGTTCATCCTATAGTCTCTGACAGCTAGGCAAAAATAGCCAAAATAGGTTTATACGTTTTGAAGGGTTAGGAAATTTCAATAGGTATTTTATTTTTAAATCGTATGCGTGAAGTGGATAAGCAAATATTTAAAAATTTATTATAATTATAAAGGTAATTTTAAGAAATATATTAGTCTAATTTAGTTTTATTTGTCGAAACATATCGCTTTAAAAAATGTCCTCAGGCAAAAATAATAAAATATCTATTATCTATAGTCATATCTATAGACACATTATTATAATATAATATTATTATAATATAATCTGCCTTTACAATGCTCATTTCTTCAATTTTTGTCGAAATATTGAATATTAAGATCTGAAATTAAATATTATTGCAGTATGCAAGTTGGAGAGGATCGATGAATGTAACATATCGCATAACTGGTTCGAGTACCTTTCGGCTTTCTGTAAATTCGATATTCGCCCGTCGTAAGATTATCAATGTTATAGCGACTTTAAGAGGAAATGAAGAACCAGATCGTTACGTCTTATTAGGGAATCATGTTGATGCGTGGGTTAAGGTGATTTCTTAATTTTTTTCAAATATCTTCTAAAGCTTAAAAGTATGTTCCTACAGTGAGGCTTATTCGCTGAGATATAAATTGATAAAAGCGAATAGTGATGAAGTGAGAAACTTTTGGGAGTATGGAGCAACAGATTCTATCTAAAGACTTTTCAATCAAGCCTTAATGAAGAAATTGATACCATGTAAAGAAAACTGTTGGGCCTGGTAAAAGAGTAAATTGGATTAATGGAGTATTAACGATCCGTAATGAAGAAATTGATACCATGTAAAGAAAACTGTTGGGCCTGGTAAAAGAGTAAATTGGATTAATGGAGTATTAACGATCCGCAGTGGGGCTTCATTAAGTACTAGAGGGAATACAACAGGTTCTGAAGAAATTTTAAAGAATAAAGATGAAATCGAAGAACACTGCATCTCAGAGCGTATCACAAACAATCAGAATATATTACAATAAAATGAGGTAATGGAACATGGAGTGTACTCCAAAGGGATATAATTTTGGGAGGTTAGGATAAAATTGAGCGACTGGAAAGAATTTTAATAAGATTGCGTAGATTTTGGAAGGATTAGCTCGTCTCTACACCTTAGTGTAATAAATTGTTCACCCTTGACACATTCCTCGATATTTTCTAAAACCTTTTATATTCTCTTAATGTTTCTTCGGAAACTTGTAATTCCCCATTATCCTCTTCATCCGTCCCAGCTGTCGTTGTATTTCTCTGATCATGCACGGTGATTAAAGAATTTTGTTTTATAATTTTGTAAAATTGAACTGCGTGATTAAAGAAACAAAGTGAAAGGTGAAGATATAAGTTATGGGTATGGGTGTAAAAAAGGTTTTAAAAGAGACCATTAATGAAGGAACCACTATTATGGCAAAAGAGTGCAATGAATTTTTGTGATTCCAAGGAGATACTTGGCAGGACTTGGAGAAGTTTTTCACGAAACATGATAAATTTTAGAGGAGATTAAAGCGATTCAATGCGCTAGGTCAAGTTTTTGATTCTGCATGTATCCAGTTATCAAAGTGAGATTAATAAAATATATGGACTGTTTAAGGAAATTATTTTAGTTCTACAAAAGAAAAGTGGTAAGATTAAGTGGGTTTTTGAAATATAAAGGACCAGGCTCATGCTATCTAAAGGATTCTGATAGTATATGGGGATTTTAAAAAAATGCTTAAAGTTTTAGCTAGTGAGGTGTAAATAAAGTGAAAACGAAATTTGGTAAGGCATTAGGGGGAATTAGCAGAGCTTTGAGGAGTACTAAGGGGATATAAGGGAATTCTAGGAAATTTTTGGAAATTTTAAGGTGATTTGAAAGATTTAAAAGGATGAATATCGAAAATATTACTACTAATGAATTAGGTACCACCACTACTACTTTATAGAGTTCATTAATCTAAGTAGAAGTTATTTAGAGGAATTTGCGAAGAATTTAGAAAAAATTTAATCGATTTAAGAGGAAATAGATTTTTTCTTCTGGAGATGCACACACTAAACACATAAATTATTGCACACATAAATTATTATCAGTTGTTTATCATTTACTATTATTATTTATCATTAGACCAAAAAAGTTATGGTGACACTGAATAAAAATCATATATCATATTTTAAGCAAAAAAATATGCGAAAAAAATTTCAGGAGAATTAATAAAAAGAATTTTGCTGGAAATCTTAGTATTGCAAATCTTAGTAAACTTAGTATAGTTTGGTATTGCAAATCTAACTTCTCTTATTTCCGATTATATATAATAATTCAGGGATCAATAGATCCGAGCTCAGCAACTGGCACCTTATTAGAAATGGCTCGAGTACTTTCATGGACAGTTGCAGAACGAAAATGGCGACCTCGACGTACCATAATGTTTTGTCAGTGGGACGCTGAAGAATTCGGTTTGATCGGTGAGTCGTTTAAAACTTTTCTCTTAATTTTTTCATCGAAATACTAAGTAAATATATTTCACTTATACATTAGCATCTTTCAGAAAAAGTGACACAAATTAAGAATATTTCATAGTTTGATAATCATTTAACTTATAACTGATAGGTTTGAATCATTTGATAAAGATTTGCATAAAAAGCTAGTAAAATATATGATTTTCTCAAAAATCGGTTAGTTCAGGAAGTACAGAATGGGTTGAAGAATTTATGAAACCATTGCAACAACGAGCTGTTGCAGTAATCAACGTTGATAATATCAGTGGAAATACGACATTATCAGTGAAAGCCGTTCCTTTATTATATCGAGCTGTTGTTAATGCTGCTTCCAAGTATTAATTATGAAAATTATTTTTAAGAGGAAGAAAAATAAATAATTTTATTAATAAAATAAATAAATTCTCAGTGCAATAAAATTTAATTTGTCTCATTTCATCGAAACTTACAAATTTTTTTTATATTTATAATATTATATTTATATATTTATATATTTATAATATTATATTTATATATTTATAATATTGATAACTTAATTATTTTGCAATTATCCTTATAGGATTCCTACAGGTAGCATTTCGGAATTTATAGCAGGCAGAATGACTCTACTTGATTCCTGGAAATTTTATTCACCACTGAATTCACTACCAGGTGATAAAACAATTCCTTCAATTGGTATACCAGGCTTTGGTTCTGATTTTCAGGTTTCCATGTTTGCTCTTATTAATCCTTCTTTTTTGGTCACATTTTTCGAAATAAAACAAGAAAAATATTAAAAAATAACAACTGTTTTACTTATTGTTAAGGCAATTCTTAAAGCTATTCGTTTCAATAAATTTCTTTGCAGCGCTTTATCTCATATTTGGGTGTTCCAGTTGTTGATATAAAATTCGAAAATGCACCTATTTATGCATATATGCTATATCATACGATGTATGAAATTCCATGGACAATTGAGCATCTAATAGACCGTAATTTCAATACATTTACGGCTGTTGGACGCCTTTGGCTCGAACTTGCTAGAAATCTGGCTGATAGTCTAGTGGGTTTCTTGCTATTTTAATAATTTTGTAAGCAATAAATCTTAATCTTAAGAATTTAGAATGTGTTTTTTTTTTTTTGTAGATCAATAGTCAAATTTCGCCTCATTAATTATGTCCTTGCTTGATGTTTTTGTTAAGAATTAGTTGAACTGGATCATGTTTCATGATAATTATAGATTTCACCGTCATGGGACAATCGTAACAATGAGTTTTGAAGGTTTATTAGAAACCCATGCAAATTACTGTTTTGCTTTGCTTTAAATGCGATCAAATTTATTATTTATAAAAATTTTTTCACGATTTCCCTAGATGACCATAAAAGTCTACAGGTCTCTCACTGCAAAATTTGAATTTTCGAAATTTGAATTTTTAAAATATTTTTTAAATTTTTCCACTTAAGAGTTTATAATCAATATAATAAAATAATTGTTAAAAAGATTTTCCCAGAAATGGATCCCAGAGATTAGTTTTAGAGGCCAGTTAAACGACCATTGATTTATAAGAAAATTGTCAAGATAGAAAATATTAAAATAATAATTATAATAATGAGACAAATATAAAAAATATAATATAAATATAGATTATAATAATAATATAAATATATAATACAACATAATGTAAGTATACACAAATATAAAAACAAACAATATAATATTATAAAATGCTCATATTATTAAAATTACATATATTATTAATATAAATATTTTAGTACCTATTACCTATTATATCATAATCTTTTATCATATAAACTATTTACAACGATCTTTTAAAGAGGAATAATCATGTGTGATAAGAAATTTTTAAAAAGTATTATCACTAGGCGATGACATACTTAAAAAAATTAGCCAAAATTTTATCAAAATTTATCAAAAGCAAATTTATGAAATGCCTAAAAAAACTGAGTAAATTCTTATCACTGGGGGGAATTTATGATACATCCAAAAAATTAATTATGCATATTTTGCTTTTCTGTTGAACATTTATGCAACGAGATTTGTCTTTTTTTCAGATCATTCCATTCAACGTGCACGATTATAGTTTGATGATCCATAAATTCGTTTCAAAACTTGATCAACAAATTCGAAATACTGGCATTACAAAATTGCTTATTGCTAATGACTATAATAATATAATAAATAATTTAATGGATGCTGTTAAACGGTTTCAAACGGCGGCCAAAATTATTCATACGATTGTCGAGGTGAAAATTATGGTGCTTTTATTGCATCGATTAATCTACTAACTTAAACTACTGAGCAAAGGAATGGTTTTAAAATTTACCAAAGCCATTAATGAAAAATGATGTCTGTTGAATTTTTATGCAAATTATTTACTGGTTATTCTATATTAATCTGACATTTTGTTTACCTTTTTTAGTATGTCAATTCTGGACAAGAATCGATAAGTTCCAAGCAGCTAGAAATGATAAACTCGAGATTAGTGAACGTTGAACGAGCTTTCATTGTTGAACGAGGTATTTATAGTGATCATGCCGAATATCGACATGTCATATTTTCCAGTAGTCGTTTAGACGAATATGGAGGAGTAATTTTTGCTTCAGTTATGGATCCTATTATTAAATTAAAAAATGCGTATCTTCGTGGCGATTTCGATGATCAGAAAAAATGGATGAAAAACGTTAAGCTTGCATTAATGAATGTGCAATATTGCATCGAATCAGCCATATTAATATTAAATCTTGAAGGATTTTATGACTGATTATGATTGTGTAAATATTATTTTATCTTATCAAATAGCAATTAAACCTCAATTCAACATTAAATTCTTAGAATTGATTTACTTTATTCAATATATAATATCGATAGAAAAAAACCAAAATATTTTCTACTGAAACATTTATAAATGAAGCTTAATGAGGCGCGGGGTGGCGGTGACAAATGCAATTTATACTTTATCGTCAAATAACTGATAAAAATTGTCTGCTTCGAAAGTCTATGAGTCTAGTCGGACGGAATTGGTGGGCGCTACAAAAAGGGAAAAAAAGTTTATTATGCATAATGAAAGGATTAAAGTGTGATAACTAAAATATTTCGCAAAACACAAAATAAGATTAATTGGGTAAATATTTTTTCAAAGTTTGTCATTGATATTTATACAAAAATTTATGAAATTTTTGCAAAATTCTTTGAAAATTTGTTGCGTTTTACGTCGCAGAAGCTTTTTAAAAGCTTTTCATAAATCCTTTTTCTAAATATAAAGAAATATTCATTTTAGATTAAATAAATAATCATATAAAGAAATAAATATAAGAATAGATGATGGTACCTCTAATTCTAGGAAAACTCCTCTTTTACGAAATGGTTCCACTTTAGTGGTCAAGTTTAGGCTTATGAATCTGCCTAACCAAAAATGAATGTACTGTTAAAAATAAAAGAAAAGGTCGCCTTATCGCTTCTTCGAGCATCAGTTAATATTCAATTCAAGAAAGCAGTTTTTAATATTGAAAAGAAACTAAAAGGAGCTTTTTTCACCCTTGTCTCGTTTATTTAGTAACTTACTTAGTAATATGTACGATTTTATAGATAACCGCATGCGGTCCGCTGGCTGGTCTGCCAGTTATATTTTAAATAGAATAAATAAATGATAGATAAATTATTTGGATAGAATAGTAAAATTAAGTGAGAATGACAATGAAATTCAAAGGAAAAATTTATTATTATCTCTATAGAATTTTTTTTACCTAATATATTATATAAATATTTATAATATATATTTATTTTATTCGATCGGTTGTATAAAATATGTGAAATTTGACGATTGAATGAGCATGAAAGTTATTATTTGATTCAGATTCAGAAATCAGTGCAGCCAACATGCAATAGAGACGAAGCACTGCTTGACGAAGAAGAAGAAAAATAATTTTCAAATTTCTATAATAAAATGGTTATAAAATATTCAGCAAGCAAAAATATAATTAATCAACATTTATTTATTTTTGTTTTTTTAATTGTTGATGAATAATAAATAGAGATTATTATTTAGAATAGAATTGATTGTTTAAATTTTTATTTCATTTATAAATCATCTTCAATTATCAGATTAATCAATCCATTATTATTATTATCACTTTTTCTATTATCAATATGAACTAAATATATTTCGAAACAAATTTGCAAAATTGTAGAGTGGTTTCTTAAGGATTCCATTAAGTTGATTAAGCCAAGCTTGTTGCCTCATTTCGCCCGATGACAAAGTCTTCATTGTACCAAAATTACGTTTTCGCAGTAGTGTTGGCAATAAATTTGATGATACTGATAGTGGTTTGATCAATTTCAAGTCATATTCATCTAAAATACTAAAAGTATATATTATTTATAAAAATATTTAGGCAAATTCTCGCAAAAATTCATAGATTTATAGCAGAAAATTATCAAATTAACACCTAAAATAATCAGCGCAACAGTGAAGAAATAGTTTTAATTTATGGTTTGACTGCTTAACTAATATGCATATAGATAAATAAAAAATATTATAAATATCCTCAAGATCCTAGAGTACTTAATGGGACTATGGAAAATGACAATACAGCTCAATGGGCAAAGTGATGTAATGTAAGTGATGTCCGCACTATTTTGCGCAGGCTTGAATTATCTCAACCAGACAATAGTGGATATAAGAGCCACCATCTCTATATCTCTATACGAATGAAATCAAGTTAAGAACGAATGAGGTCCCGACTCGCACTTTTACTAATATGGATTTACAGCGAGGATATTGAAGTATTTTATCCTCAAATCATATGGGAACTGCAAGAACAAAACAGATCGTGAAAAGCCAGGTCAATGGGATTCACGCCATAGATATCCTGCCGATATGGCCAGAGATATAGATGGTACTGCGGTAAGAATCCGGAAAATCAGTGCACGGAAATTCCACCCTAGGCACAGACTTAAGAATCTAAGTGGGACCTTTTTCCATATAGGCCACTACTCTGAATAAAATCAGAAACAAGATGGCATCAAAAGTTTTTGAAGAAATGCCTTGAGCAACAACGGACACTGAAAGAAGATTAAGCAGAAGAAATGCCACAACATCTTCAGCATGATTCGTCATGGAATATCATCGACATGAGATGGCTGATAATGAGAAATTCCCTCACTGGTAGGGAAAAGTTGGACTAAAAGATATCGTTCATAATAGCACTAGAATAGTCCAGTAGAATCAGGTATCTACCATATCAAACAAGATGCATGGAAGGCTATGCAGAAGTATCTTAGAGATTATTCAACACATAGTGCAAGCATAAATAACTACAAAAAATCGTAAGCCAAGATCCTGTGAGAATTCATGGATCAGATTCAGACTAGTAAGCTGATATCAATCAACCATTTATAATGGTATTCAAGAACCACAAAACACTCGTGGTTTTAGATGTAGTAATTTTAAGTAATAAGAACATCAGAAAAAGAAATACAGGAAAATACTGTAAGAAGAACTAGAGAAGATATAAAAAAATAAAGGCCAAAATAGTGGTAGGAGCACAAGGTCACTTAGAAAAGTGGTTCCAATAAATTCTAATAATAACATCAGAGATCTCTGTCCAGAACTGCTAGTATGCAAAGATATTGCAGAAAATGCAAAACCGTCAAATCAAATTCCAAGGCTTCTAGTAGAGTACCTCAGATTAAGATTCTATAAAAATTTTTCACTAATTCGAAATGTAATAATAAAAATTTAAAACAGTGATATTAACTAAATAATTTTTCAATTTCAATTATAATTATTCAGCTAATTTTTCTTATTTATATTTTTTTATGACTTTATATAATAAAAATTGCTCGAAATTCAATAATAAATATGCATAAAATATTAATAAAAATAAGAAAATTTTTAAATGACAGAAATTTATTGGTTCAAACATCTATTCAAACTAATAATAATTAATAATAATGATAATAATAATTATAAATTAATAATAATAAATGACAGGAATATTTTATGAATAGTGTCAGAATCGCGACAATTCTATCAATTACGAATATAAAAATATATTATATCAATTAGACACATTAGGCTTAGGCTTATCACCTATGTATCAGCATTAGTGAGTGATCTTAAAAAAAATAGACTCATTATAAGTTGGAAGAACAAACAATGATTTGATATACACCTATAAGATTTTGCATGACCTGGATTATAATAGATTAAGTCGTATTGCGATCAAGATCTACTCGATTATTAAATCCTATTTGTACAACTTAGTTGTCGTCAGATTGAGACGTCTGTACTATTGGGTTTGGGCTGTAATTAAAGGAAGAAATCACCTAACCATTGATTAGTTTTTAACGATTACGATAAGTCAAATATAGTCATAAATGAAGTCAAATATAATATCATTTAACAGTTTTAATAGTTTTTTAATAGTCTTTTTTAATAGTCTTTTTATGATTCCACTCTACCAATATAATATTTTTTTATTTGACTCGTTTCGTTATGCTAAACATTGAATCCAGAGTTCGTATATAATGAATGACTGAGGTAGGGGACACTGGATTTTGCTCTCTCATTTCGGAACGCCGATGCTCGGTTTTACTCTCCAAGGTTGGAATAAATCTTTCAAAAATCCAGCTAAAGCTATCGACTGTACTTTTATCACATTCCGGCAAAATTTGTCTGATGCAGTGTAGCGAGTCTAATCAACAATGGTGAAAACTTTTATAAGAAAAAAATTTACCTTGAAAGAATAAATTTGATAGAATAGGATGTGTTGATGCATTTGTTACTAACAAAACCAGAGTGAACACGCAAGCAATGGTGAATGACGAAATCATTTCACTGAAGTGATAAATAAAAAAATAAATATGCGCATAGCAAAACAAAAAAAAATTGGCGAACTTGTATGAAGTACCACAAACACTTTGCACAAGCATTTAATTACGGCATTTATAAATAATTTTAAAAAATGACTGATTACATTTTAATTTTTAATTAACAATTTTTAATAATTTTAATAATTTTTAATTAATTTTTAATTAATTGTTTATATTTTAATTAGAAATAATTTTAATGATTAAAATAATTATAACCTTTAAATAACCTTTTAAATAACCTTTTTTTGATGATAAAAAATTTTTTAAGCATTTTTTATTAATATTTGCATAAAATAATTTGTTATCAACTAAAATGAGGCAATAAAATTTAAAACATAAAAGTAAAAGTTAAGCTAATTTGATTTTTTCCTTTCTAAAGATTTCTGAATATATTGCGATTCTTCAATTAATGATTGATTATAATAGTTAAATTTTTGTCACAAATTTTTATAAATTTATAAATTTATCATAGATTTTTTGTTAAAATAGCCTATAATAATAATCATAATGATCAACCGAATTCAATAAATAATTTTAAAAAACACAAAAAATATTATAAATAAAATTGGAATGGATCGATGAAATTTGAAATATTCGTTAAAATTTTTACTTGCGATAATATTGAAAGAATTTTTTTGCACGATAAACTCATTCATATCTTTTCAAACAAATGTGCAAGAAAGCTTAGCAGAAATCTTTTTGTCTAAAGTAAAGCGAGAAATGATTCAAAAATTTAAAATCTAAAGCAGAAATTTAATCACGAAAAATAATTTGAGAATAATAATGGAAAGGAAAGAAGAAGAAGTTTATATGTGTTCGATTCTCTTAAATCCATTGAACTTCAGAATTCTCATAAAAAATTATAATTCTATCACCAACTTTTGAACT